CTATCTATCTATCTATCTATCTATCTATCTATCTATCTATCTATCTACCTATCTACCTCTCTGTTTCTTTATTTCTTTCCCACTTTTTGAGTTGTCTTGGGCTGGAAAATTGCTTTACCTCATGCTTTTGTGTGTCATGCTGCTCTAGAATTCATTTTGAGGCATTATTTAAAGTTGTTTGAGGGGAATTTGGGAGAGCTCGAGAGTCACTGCCTTGTTTCTGCCATGTTGGTTCCTCCTCTCTTTCCCCCTATTCTTGCAGTCCATTCTCTACCTTTTAAGATCTTTCTCTTAATTCAAGGTCCAGCTCAGTTTGGGCCTCCTCCACCCAGTGTTTTGAGATTTCTCCAGCCATTTCTCAGCCCGCCAACCTCAGGCATTCCCAGGATAGTTTGTCTGGATATCTTTTGGCCTAGTTATTTTCAAGCTTATTTCCTATTTATTTTTGTCATATTTTATAGGTCATATTTTCTCCATTAAACTGTAGGCCTGTTTTGTCATCTTTTTATCCTGTCTTCCACAAAGTACCTTACATAGAGTAGGTACTTCATAAGTACTTGTTCAGTTTTATCCAACCAGTTTCCTTAAAATATCTGCAGAGTGAAAAAAAAAGTTTTATTTGTAGACACAATTTGTTTTACATTCCTTTTTTCTCCTTTTGTCTTTGTTTCATTAGTACTAAAGTAGGCCACAAACAGGTTTGTTTTGAAACATCTCTCTGGTCAGGCTTACACTTGGCACATCTCTTCATTCCCCCTAAGCTTAAAACTGGCCATCAGACCTCCACCTTTTCTCTTGTTATCTCTGTTCAATGACCCTTTCCTGGGAAACATGATCTTGAGCACAGCAGGTTCTCTGCACAAATGGAAGAGAATACAGTTAAGACGGCAAGCCTTCCATTTCCTTATCCCATCTTTAATTTTTTGTTACCTCCTTAGCTTCAGTGATGGTATCTGAGAGACCTTTTGTTGCAAGTTAAAACATTCTGTGAAGCTCATTTTTCAGTGTTTCTCCCTGCTGTTCTAATTACCCTTTTAACTTGCCTTTCCTTTATATCCTACTGACTAGTTATCAGCCATTTTCTCCAAATTGGCACTGTAATTGATTCGTCTAGCTTAGAGATAGGGTGACCCTCCCAGCATTCATAGGAGATTTTATATTTGCTGCTAGGTTTACTGTAAAACCTGAGATGCAGGACTGGACCTGTTGTGGTAGTGTGGACATGTGTACTCACCTGAAAGCCATTTGTTTAGCAACATATTTAACTGCTGATCTCCCTGAGTTTGGCTGACCTACTTTTAAGATTGGGGCAAGTGATGCCATTAAGGGTAATGAAGTTTGAGGTATTAGCAGGGGGTGATGTGTAGTTTCTTCATTTCTAGGGACTTAAAAATTTTTTTAGTGTGGGTGAATAATATTCATAAGCTAGGTACAGGTGACCACAAATTCAGTGTAGTTCAGTCTGAAAAACTTGTTCCATGAAAACTTAATTTACTCCAGTTCTGATTCATCATGTTTAATCCTTCCTGACAGTGTTTAATTTTTATAATGCAATTAGAATCTCATCACAACAAAATCTGAGGAACTGTACATTATTTTGTTGTAGCAGAATTTGAGTGTATTACATATTGCTTAGAAATAAATGAGCTATTAACTGGGCTTTTGAAATGTTGATTATATGGAGATTTTTATTATAATTTTCCTCTTTTATTGGGTGTTTGACTTAAATGGAAAAGGCTGTAGAAGTAGGTCAAGTGATAGCTTTCTTTGCCTTGACTATTCAGGGGTGTCCTGGAGTACCCTCTGGAACATTCTGAACAGGTAAAACACTTAAGGAAATGATTGTCATCTATCTTGGCACAGTGAATTTGTTCTGTCCTTTTTGTGTTCTTGTCCTTAATCCAGATTATACTTCTCTCTTTGCATAGATCAGTCCAAACAGTTTGTGGTTGAGTCTTTGTATATCGTCAGCTGTTACGGGACCCTGGTGGAGCATGTGATGGAACCTCGGCCACTCAGCACTGCCCCCAAGATCAGTGATGACACTCCCCTGGAAATGGTGACATCTCCCCGGGCCAGCTGGACTCTAGTGAGGTAGTATGTCCTGCCTTTCTCCATAACATCTTAGCATTCCTCTTCCCTGGAGTTTTTGTTCCCTTCCGCGTGTAAAAGCTTATTGTTGCCCTTTTCTCCAGTCTCATGCTCACTAAAAGTACATAATGGCACAAAGCCAGCCTTTTAAGTGAACTGCAAACCAATAGAAGAGGACTGGAAGCTATCTTTTAAAGGGATTCCCAAAGAATGTAAATTAGGAACAGTCTTAGCCATTGTAGTCCTATTTGGTAAAGAAAAAAGTGTGTCCCAATTGGGATCAGGATAGCTTCCCATAAAGAAAGAGAGAAAATATCTTAGAAATGGCTCAGAGCTGAGCTTTGTCTAAGAGAGACAGGGAAATTGCATTGAGGGAAAGAAACAAAATTGGGTATGCCTAAGCTTTTGACATTTTAAAATATCATTCTATTGATCTTGGTAGGCTCAGATTCTTTACTGCTATTCATTTCTAGTTTGGGCTGATCAATACTGGATTTATCAAGCTATTTAGGAGTGGCCGATTCCAATTAAGATTATTCCACCATCCCCAAAAGGATTGTATCACTATGGAACTGCACATGCTAATTGGATTGAGAAACAAGTCACAAATTTACCCAACTATTTTTCACCATGGTTTTTATTTTCCATTGAGTTGATTTTCTTTTTAAATGTAAAGAATTCCTAGCAAGTTACCAACTTGGGTGTTAAAGTTTAAAAAGAAGTTTCCTCGAACAAAAAACATACTCCTGCATGCCTGTCCCCACATGGCAAAGAACAAGTTCCAACTCTCTATTGGAATAGAATGAGATCAGTTGTTGTAGGAATGGTTTTCTCCATTGTATAGCTGCCCCCCATCTCCAAATCCCATAGTCCTCTTGGATTTTCTTCTGCTAATGTCAGCTTGATGCAGTGTGTGTGTGTGTGTGTGTGTGTGTGTGTGTGTGTGTGTGTGAGTGAGTGTGTGTGGCAGAGAGAGAGAGAGACCCTCTCCTTTTCGTTCTTTTTTAGACCTAGGGCTATGTGTTTCAGCACACTGAAGAAATTTTATTTCTTGATTCCAAACCTTTTGTGAACTTCCACCAGCTATTGTACTCAGTGAAAACTGCAGTGATTTATATCACCCTTGTTACGCTCAGAGATTAACATTCTCATATCATTCTCCTAGAACCCCTCAGTGGAATGAGCTGCAGCCACCTTTTAATGCCAACCATCCCCTGCTCCTTGCGGCAGATGCCGTGCAGCGCTCTCAGTTCCTGCTCGCTGGCTGTAAGTAGCTTGAATGGTCTGCCCTCTTTTTATTGTTTTCAAATCCAATGTTAGAATGCTGGCTCTTTAAAGAAGACATGCCTATTAGTACTGACCCACAGGCCCAGGGCATAGAGGAGCTCAGGGTATTGGCAAGCTATATATTGTATAAAATTATGATCTGCAACCCAATGCACTTGGGAGGCAACACTGCTATCTTGCTGGTAAGTGTGTGCAAGGCAAGGCTGGGGAATATATTGGGGGTTTAATAAAATGCTATGGGAAGATGGGGAAAAAATTCTCTGCCTGAACACCTATGAAGAATTTTGTCACTTTTTTTTTCCCTCAGCATTAACCCATAGGGCTTGAAGAATAAAGGGTGATAGAGTTTACCACAAGTTAGTGGTCTAATCCATGTCTAAATGTCATATTTGTTGATTCTGAAAGCTTTTGATAGCTACTGCAATGTAGTTACTAACGTAATTAAAACTGTGAAAGAAACTTTACATCTCCTACTAGACATTTTAGCCAAAGTAACTCTTTCGGGGTACTAAAATTCATAGCAAACTGAGCTGTGGTTTTAAAAAAGAAAAGGTAGAAATTTACATTGTGACAGTAATATAGTCATTTTTCACAGGAGGCATGGGAAGACAATTTTTTATTTAGTTTATGGTCATAGAATTTTTAAAATCTTATCATTATAATTCAATTTTATAAAATGGACTAGGCCCCTAATTTCACTAGATAGCTTGGCACACTGCATATTTTTAGGAAATATCTTGAAATTAATGTTGACATTTTTTGGTGAGGTTTTACTGTACTTGGCCCTTTATCCTGCCTGCCTTTAATGTAAACCGTGATTTAAAATGTTTCCATAACCAATCTGTTTTAGGGTTAAAATGTGGTATGTGTTAAATAGCAAGAGCACATTGGGAATTATAAATGATTTGCAGTTTTTGAAGTCATGTCAGGAAATTTTGCAATGTACTAATCAAACAGTAACCTAAGAAATCAGCCACAGAAGCCACCACAACATCAAATACACAGATGCTCATAGCGATTTGTGATGCACTCAAGGTAGTTGTTTTCTCAAGATATACAGATTGCAACTCTTCCATAGCTGTCCATCCTGAGTTGGTCCAATCAAGTTGTAAGAGTCTGCTATACCAGACTAAAGTCCTATTGCTGACAAGATGAAGGGTGCACCTAGTTTTATTGACTACTTCTTATGGCTGGGCCCATGGATATTTAAGTTTCTTCTGATATTCTTGGAATGCTGCCTTTTGGAAAATAAGATGCACATGATTATTTTTTCAATTGAATAGTCATTAGTACTTGTTTTGTTAGTTCGATAGTTTCCTCTTTGTTTCCTGTCTCAGAAATATTGATCCATAAAATAAGAAAAACTCAAGAAAAATGATAGAACCATAATCTTGTCTTTTCTTCAGTATCCCAGTTATACCATTCATTCAGCATTTATTAAGTATCTTTAATTAAGCTTAATTTATTAAGTTAGGTAGACATTAAGTATAATGGAGTGCTTATGCTCAGTTTGACACTTTTATTCAAGAATTATAACTGGAAGTTTAAAGGGACAAACTGGAGTTTAATAAGCCTCCTCTGATTCCTTTAAAGTTTATGTTACTTTCACAAATTTACAGGTGAAGTGACTAAGGTGAAGGGAGATAACTTTCTCCTCCAAGATTATCTTAATAATCCATGGTAAAACTGTGATTTAAATTCAAAATGATTTTGTAAGAATCATGAATGGCACTTGCATGAAGACCCTATGGTTGTAAATCATAATTACTTCCAATTTTTAAAAAAATCATCCACATATGAAAAGATAAAATTTAGGGAAAAGCAGTCTGTTTGACATCGCTGAAAATGCTAATGTATTATATGACTGAAGCAAACAAATATGCACAGTATGGTCATCTGTCAGAGCAATAAAAGCATGACATACAATTCCTAAAAGTAGCCCAGGCTCCGGGGGAAGGGCCTTTACCTGTCCATCTGATACACCCTGTCTGAAACTCAGTATTTAAGAGGTCATGGGTCAGCATCTGTTACTATCAAATTCCCTTCTCGAGAATATACTGAGATCTTATTAAAACACAAGTGTCCTCTTGTTCCTGGTGCCTAGAAATTTTCACTTGAGCTTAACCACAGCATACTCCCTCTTGGTGTTTTCCATTGTTATTTTTCTTCTAGTAGTTACAAAAGCAGTTCTTCAAATATTCTCAGTTTCAGATATTTAAGGATGGGGCAGAAGAATCCCCTTCTGTCTCCCATTAATTTAGTCACTGCAAATGCTGTTTAGATCTTCCTTTGGTTTTACTTAGATCTGTGAATCATTTAAAGTAGATAGTGTACGGATTTCAGAGATGGTAATTATGGCAGGAAAATAAAATGGAAGGAAATGGAAAAGTAAATAGAAGATGCAAGGATAGAATAGGAGAATAAGATTTGCATCTGGCTATGCCATGATCTGGCCATCATAATATTGTATTGGCTGATAGAGAGAATTTGGGATATGTGGCTAAAAAAATAAAAAAAAAACACTAAACAAGAAAAAAATGCAAGACTTAACCCCAAGTCTCCTGGGCTCCAAGCCTTGCTCTCTATCTGTTACCCCACACTGCCTTCTATAATACTACCAATAACTAGGTTTCACTTATTTTTAACCATTGTCTTTATTCTTACCAATTATAATCTCATTAAATGACCTACATTGAAGATCCCACTAAGAATACCACTTGCACAAAGATCACTATAGCAGTATAGAGTGTTTTAGGAATATATTGACTTTCTCATAAAGTAGAGACTTTGAGCCCCGTCTCAGGCAATTCTTGATGAAAAGTTTTGCTTTGGTATAGAACACAAGTTTCAATGATATAAAATTGTGACAAAGGCTGCTCAGTGGGACTCTAGGTCTCTGGTCTTTGTAGGATCTGTGGACTCAGAGTGGTGTTCTTCATGCCACAGAATAACCAAGGGGTATGGCCTTGGCCTGGTCTTGGAAGCATTGCCTGACTTTACTCTCTGGGTGGGATCAGGGAGTCAAGTGACTGTGGGATTTACAGAGAACAAACACTGAAAGAATCAGCTCCTGATGTATCAGTGTCCACAGAATTGACTATCTGAAGCTTCTTGTGAAGGTCTTCTTACCCTTTCTGCTGAGGGTATTCCTCCCTTTCATTGTTCCTGTTTACTGACCAAAGTTAACTCTTCAGATTTGAAAACAGTTTTTTTCCCTGAATCTTCACAGAAAGAAGGATGAATGAACAAAATGTCATTTAAAAATCCTCTGCTGAGTCTCCTTACTAATAGAGGAATCAGCATTTCCCATATATGCATCTTTGGAAATTATTGCTCAAAACTTGTTATCCAAATTACTGCTTTTTAAAAAAATGACCAAGTCATTATAGAAATGACTATAGATGATTAAAGAAAATTTGTTTTATTCTGATGTTAAAGAACAGAATTCTTGGTGTTTATGTCATCTTGCTTCACCAAAGGGTTTGTAAATAGGTTATCTACTTCATGTTTCCGGGGCAAAAATTTGTCGGGAATATTTTTTTTCAATGTATTTAGATCCGTTACTAATGATGTCCAACTCCTTTGTATCAGGAAGGGAAGGAAGAACAGACAAATGTCCATACATTACCCAGATACCCTGATGCCTGTAGGAGATATTTAAGACAGTGAAAGAGTAGTTAGAGGGCAAAATGAGGAAAATAAGGCATTGGACTTTCCGTAAATTCCTTCCTTTTCGAACAAAACAACAAGCCAGATTTCAGTAGTCATTCAGCTTCTGGTTATGAATGTCTTCAGCTTATAAAGTGAGGACTATGGCTTGTTTTATAGATTTTTTTTTAAAAACAGGATTTAATGTGCTGTGTTTGGTGGATTCAATTTATATTATCAATTCCTTTTTTTCTATACCCACTGCCACCACCTTACTCCAGGACTTTGTTACTTCTTGCCTGGACTATTGCATCAATTCCCTGATGGTCTTTTTGTCTCCCCTCCCTCTTTCCTCCAATTCATTCTTTACATTGCTACCAATTAATTCTTCCTAATCCCATCACTCAATTCCTCAGCAGTCTCTTACTAGCCTTTTGAAGAAATTCCCAACTTACAGAATCACAATTTCAAGAGATGTAAGGGGCTTCCAAAGCCCTCTAATACAACCCCTATTTAATAATGAGGAATTTTTTTTCTACAGCGTCTCCAAAAAAATGGCCACATAACCTTTGCTTGAGGACTTCCAGAAAGAGCAAACCCATTAAAATCTGAAGGTAGTGCATTCCACTGTCAGTTAATTCTTTAAAGTTTTTCCTTATGCCAAGTCTAAATCTTCCTCAGCTCCCATCAGTTGTTTCTACTTCAGCTGATTTGGGCCAAGTAGGAAAACAAAGCTAATTTCTCTTTATATAATTGCACTTAAGATACTTGAAGATGGCTCTAGTGCAACACTATTCTCCCACCCCCACCCCATCCTAACCTTTCATTTCTCCTGGCTAAACAACCCTACCCATTCCAGCTGATCTTGGTCTAACTTGTTCTCCATTTCTTTCACCATTCTGATCACCCCCTCCAGGATACATTCTAGATGTGGTATGATTTGGGTAGAAAATAGTGGGACTTCCTTTATCTGGATATGCATTGTAGCCTAGAGTAGCAAATTGACTATCATTTATACTGATTATTCATTAAGACCACAAGTCTTTTTCACACATTTATTCACATTTATTCAAAGAGCACTGGAACTGTTGTCTAGTCAAATCCATTCCTCCCTTCTTCCCTAAGATCCCCAACACCCTAGCACCATTCTATTGAAGTTGTTTTTTTGGAACTTGAGTATAGAACTTTTCATTTATTCCATTTAAGTTTCCTCTTATTAATTTTGTACCCAGTATTGTGGCCTGTTAATATTATACATTCAGTTAACTATCCCTTCTGTTTTTGTGTCATCTACCAAGTTGGCAAGCATGCCTCCTATGTCTTTATCCAAG